CCAAATAGAACCTGAGGTGGCTCGTCTCAGCAATTTACGACTGGAAGTTTAGAAGCATGCTGATTGTCACTCGGCTTGCAAGTGGGGTGGCCTTTGCAAAGGAGTTCATTAACCTCAGCACAAATGTCTGTGTAACGGATTGCCCCATCTCTATAACAGTAGTATCTTCTGGCTGCAGAATTGCACACCAAGTGAAGCGCGACATTTAGTGTTTTTCAGCATCCATTCAAAATTTTGATTGAAAATCATTATCAGAATTATAGTATTGAGCAGAAGTTTTCTAGCTTTATTCGAGAACTGATTCCAAAGACTGAAGCATGGAAAGAAACAGTGAAAGACATACGTCGTCTGCCGAGGTATTTTGCCTCAAAGACTGTGTTAGCTGTACCAATGTCACCTCTAGTGGAGAACCTCACACCTTTTTTGTCACGGATATCACAATTGCGGCAACTTAATGCAACCCACTAAAATTAGCAATAAGACAAGTGTTAAAGAACAACCAAAACAAATCCAGAGCAACAAACAAATGGAAAATCATATACAAATAAAATAGCATAAACTTAATTCTGAAAGACAAAGAACCAAACATAATCCAGAAAAAAAAAAAAAAAATTTCATCACACCCCCCTCCAATTTTTCCTTTTTGTTCTTTTTACGCCTAAATCATCTGCGCCTTTAAAAAACCAAAATTCATATCCTAAAATCCCATAAACTTTATCTCAAGTAAACCAACAAAACACATAGCCATCACATAATAAACCCAAAGAAAACACAAGATCAATATGTTTAAATATCAAAATGATAAAGGGATATTTAAAAAGAAAGACCAAATTGGGGGATAAATGTAACGAACATACTACTACTAGGGCTCTCGAACATGAATGTAAGGATATTGGTGCCATGTGGCTTGAGTCTATGGCCTCAATGAAAATTGTATCATTCACCAAGTCTTTTGAGTGATTCAAGAACTTTACTAGCATTGGTTCAAACATTTTTCTTATGCTTGTTGATGTAACTCCCGCCAAAAAGCTAGTTGTAAAACGACAACGTATCACTTCTATTGATTTTACTTTTATTGCTTTAATTAAATTCATAATTTTATTTTTATTATTTTGGGGAATGAATTTGTTTTTTCTTTTTCTTTTTTTCAGTGCAATTTCAGTTTTTGATTTAACTGAATTTATATCGAAACCTAAAATCAACCTTAACTTCGCATAATAGACTTCAACACAAAACTAAAGAGTAATGCCAACTAATTGAGCAGAGATATCGACTCGTTTTAGAGAAATAGTACACCAAAGAAGAAAAAATTAGAACTAATTTTCCATTTTACATCATTTGATTTGCATTCAAAGCTATTTAAAAAATTTAAAATTCATTAACGGTTGTGAAACTAGTTTAAAAGTACAGTCGAAAAAAATTTAAGCCCCTATTTGAAGCTCATTCTTCACCTCCTAAATAGAAAAAATATGACCGTTTGTACTGCTAGTGAGCCCCACCTCGTGAGAGAGGTCAAAAAAGGGTACGGTCCATTTTTTCATTCTTTTGGGCTGAAAATATGCCCCAAACAGAGGCTAAATTTTGTAGTTCAAAGTAAAAGTGTAATTGCAGAAATTCAACATCAACCTGGCTAACCCAAAGCAGCACTTCATGAAGAGAGATCAAACCACATGTTTTTTATATCAAATTTTGAACTGATCATATTAACGGCTTAATACAACTTACCATGGGAAAATGACAAAGAAAAAAAATGAAAAACCACACAAATCACTAATAATGATGAAATTCACAAGTGCATGGGCCGGAGGTCATTTCACGCCTGGAAATAAGGATCATCTCATGAATAGACCAAACAACACTACAATTCTACTCTCCCGCAGGGAAAACAAGACAAGAAAAGAAATAGTAATTTCGAGTTTAAACATTGAGATCAAAGAGAATCGGAAGGAAAACACACCCACGCAAACAAGCCCCATCTTGCAGAGAGAGAGAGAGCTGAGATAGAAGGCAGAGTTTTAAGAATCCGGAACAGCAGCTGTTGGACGTTTAATTGATGCAGACTTGACTAAATGGTTATAGCTACCTTTTTCTTTGAAGAGCTGGGAAAAATGAGGTTTACAGTATAAAATGCCGTCTAGGGCTGCATAATTTGATGGAGTTAGAGAACATCCACCATGCGAACACTTGAAACAAGACTTGTGATAGCTTTGGTTTTCCACTGTCACCTGCAGATGTTTAAGAAACGAGAGAAATGAATTATGTAACCACATATAACCACACTGATATGAGAAGCAGAATTCCAGAAAAATAACTCCTCTAAACCAAACCGAACCTGTTTATAGTTACTGGAATGGTCATATTGGAATCTGTTGCAGTTATTCAAAGCTAAAACCTTTTCTTTAAGTATTCACATGCATTGACGTAGTAATTTATGGCAATTGATGTGTAAACACTAAACAGATATCATCACTAGACTAGGATATTGAAAATATCTACACAAAATCTGATCCAACAGCTTCTCATAACTAGATTTTAGCAATCACTAAAATGTTGATTGTCTCAACCCTTCAAAAGTCACAAACAGCAATTTTCGTAAACAGTGATTCAATAATAGTTTTTTGCCATGAAAAATCTAACAGACAATTCCCTCGTTTTACAAGTGTGAAAGAGTGAAATCATTTTTGTTAAACCAGGCATATCAAGACAACTGACTTGAGTAGAGAAGGCATTCAATCTCTTACAGCTTGCTTTAGGATTTACAAAGTGTCATTTAGTTGATGTAGATCAGTCTAAAATAATCTAACACTTTTGCTAGAAAGACACATACCTGAGATGTCTACATCTCATGCAATTTATTTTAACACTTAAATTACATGTCTATTTATGATCAGTGTTCTAAAATGCGTAATGCGTTGCGATACTCGAGGTCGAGAATCAAGAATCACAAGTTTAGGCGTGTCAATGTGAAGAATAAGCGCTATAATGCGTTTCGTATTTTTAAAGTATTAAATATATTTTTATATAAAAAAAATAGATTAAAAAAAAAGGGATTAGATGGGATAATGCGCGCATAGGAGCGCATTATTCTCGCCTTTTAGATGGAAAACACATTTTTCACGTATTTCCCGAATTTGACGCGTTTTCGACCAGCGTGGTGCGTAGACGGCGCATTTTCGCACATTTTAGAACATGGTTCATGATACTCTTCTGGTGGTCAAAGAATACGCATGAATATCATAAAACATAGCAACTAAATACTTTATTGTCAGATGTCAAACCCCATAATATAATCTGAATGCTAGCTAACTTGTGCTTGTATATCTATATTAAGCACAATGAGAACACTCTTCAAATATTTTGAGTTGGATAAGTTCTCTCCCTAGTCCAACCTTTCCAGGTAACATGGAAGAAAGATGCCATTTCATGTTCAAACACTCACAATGATACTTTTCACAATCATGTTTAAAAAAAGAGCACGCTGACTGATTTTATTATTAATCACAATCTAATGGTGCCATAACCAATTTTAATTGTTCACAATGGTGTCAAAGAAAGTTACGTATGGATTATGAACCAATTTTCTAATTCGTAAAAATAGTTAAATTGAAAAAAAAAAAAACCTGAAATATATAGTGCTTGCCGACTAATTCTTCTAACTGAAGGAGGGATTTATATGAATTGCGTGATTGAATGAGCTTGAGTAAAGCAAATTTGTGTTTGAATATTTGGATCTTAATTTCAATTCAGTTTTGACCGTTCAAATTCACACAGGTAAGAAATCCAAATCAGCAATAATCAAATTAAGGCTTAATCCCATAGAATTTGGGGTTCCCTTTTCTGTCACCACATATTGCATATACAGGAATTTTCAATATATTCAAATCCTTTGCAACCACACATAAAAAGTGAAAATTTTGTGGATATTTACAGCCCAAAGCCATAAATAAACTTTCTTCTTCACAAATTTGACCACAAAATTTGGAACCTCATCTTAGAGAAAACTTCTTCTAAATCGTGATAAACATAATAAGAATTTTAAAAAATAAATAATATTGCAGGTTAAATTAGGTTGTGATTCGGCCAAATTTCCCCGATTCCGAGGTTGAAGATGACCATTGAGCAATGCTTAGTGTAGACCTGGTAATGCGTATTAAGATTGTTCTGTTCTTATGGAAAAGTAACGAAGAGATAAGGAGTTCGAAGGTATACAATTGTTTGTAATTGTAGGTGTTTCTAAGGTTTACAAATGACAAAAGTGCAGTTGTCACTTCAAACTTAGTTAAATGTAGAGTTATTTGAAGAAATTCAGAAAACTAAAATATGCATCTAGATAGCCTCAAAGCATGTATCCAAAAGTCGACATTTCAATAAAATAAAAACTGTATGATGGAAACAAAAGTTAAAATTATCAGAATGGTGAAATTCTCTTTTTGTGACAGACAAAAAGACCTTATCTAATGGCAGGAGAAAAAGCTAGAGGGAGCAGGGATAAGAAAATTTGATGTGAAGAAAAGAAAGTGGAAACGAGGCTTGAGGGTTCGTGAGGATCTTGAAAATCTAAGCATCTAACACCATTTTACAGAAAAGGGACTGACATAATCATTCATGTTCCTATCATCAAGGAACTTTTCAGGAGCATAATGCAACTTTGAAGTTTGTATTAGTCTTTTTTCAAGATTTTTGTGGCCTTTCTGCTAGCCTTTAAGAGTTTTCAGATCGTCGGAGCATATAATTATGGAGAATTATTTAGCTTCCATTTGGAAAGTATTTATAAATGGTTTAATTTATAAATATATAGAGATGAGTGGTAGGTAAGTGAATACTACTTGTGTGTCCGTTGGACTATATAGTTGAAAATGAAGTTTGACCACTTATAAATGATTTAAAAATCATTTATAAAAGGGTTAATTTACTTGCACAAAGAACAGTTCATTTAGCATGCGCTTGGTAATTTAAGATCCCAAATAACCTCATAAAAACATTCTCTCTTTTTTCTAGGCAAATTCCATCTTCTCCTTTCTCTCTCTAGCTTTTCCACAACCTTTAAAAAGACAGTTCATTTGCCTAGGTCCAGAGGCTTCTTGAAGGTAGACAGAAGGAGAATAAGGCAAATTTTGATAAACATTAAAACTTTTTTTTTTTACGTAGGGCCCTAATTACTAAATAAGAAGTCCCTATCAACAAGATAAAAGAGTGGGAGCATTAATCATGTGACACAAATGATGCATAGTCCACCTAGCTCGGGTGTATATAGCTTAGTTCATTGGTTCACATATCTTCAAAATGGTAAAGAATTGGCAATCATATTCCAACTAGCACCAAGTCACATTAGAACATTAATTATGTCTTCCCTTTTTGCCTTCTCCATCATTACTTAAGCAATACAGGCTTTTACAAGCAGCATAGGCAGTTCAAAGAGCACTGGAAACTTTGTTGGCACCCATTAAGCATACAATTAAGACGCTTTCATCCATTTGTAATTAGGGATATAAAACACAGTTCCTCAAAATATCAATGTAATCAATAAAGGAGAGCATCAGGTGTTCGACTAAAATGTTGCAACAAGGTTCCATTTAAAGAAATCTTAATATACCTTTTCCAAAGGATAAGCTGTTTTCCCACAAGTAGCACATTTATCTTGTGTCCCAGAAAACATACCAGCAGCTTTGCTTGGTGATCTTGTCTAGATACCCACAAAAAATAGAAAAAACAAACAGAAAAAGAATCAGAGACAACACTATACTGAGATATTATACGACTGATAGCTACATAGGTGAGAAAAAATTTACCAGTTCTGGGGTCAACTTCTCAGCTGACTTTGCAGCTGTCAAAACAGAATGCATTTTAAATTAAAAACTAAAAGATAATGACTAATTAGAGAGAGAGAGAGAGAGAGAGAGAGAGAGAGAGAGAGATGCTCATGATGGAGAAGGTATACGTGACTGAAAATTCTTGCTGAAATTGCCTGTCTCCTTGAAGAGCTGCTCAAAGTGAGGCTTGCAGTACAATACACCTTCCATGGATGAGTAACTACCAAGCTGAGAAAAAAATTGTAAGAAGAGGCGAAGAACATAAATAGACATTACTGGCTCACTTAAAAAAATACAACTATCTTCCTATGGAACATTATGCTGCCATAGGGATTTTTACTGAATGGCTGCAGTAGTTTATATCACATGAAAGACATCCAAATTGTTATTGTAACCAAAGTTGCAAGTCATCAGCTGACCTATTACACGTCCTTTTTTGCCATATAAAATTTAATACTTGCAAAAAGGAAAAAACAAAACTTGACTAAATCTATGAACAACCGTAGTAAAATTATAACTAAAATCCAAAGAATGTGTGCAAAAAAATAGAGCTTTATCTCCTAAACCCACAAAAGAATGAGTTCAAAATTTAACACTTGTGAATAGAAGCGGCAAAAAATTGAAAATGTGTTTATACCTTGAGGGTTCCTTTGCAGTGAGAGCATTTGAAGCAAGACTTGTGATAACTAACTCCATCGGCAGACAAAAGCTCCACCGGATAAACTGTCTTCTCACAGGCCTTACATTTTTGTTGTGTCCCAGTGAAAGACATTGCTTTCTGCTTTAGAACAAGAAATGGATACAGATCTGATATTTCAAATTTCTATGCTATCAATTAAACAGAACATAGAACCACAATTCGTTTAGTATGCCTCTCAGCATCGCACATTCAATTCAAGCAGCATACAAAATATAATCACAATGCCAATAAATCTCCTAAAATAATTAGCGATCTACAAGATGCATAGGGTATTCAGATCGGAAGTCAATTGTAACAGCATTTGGTCAAACTTGCATACCTTGGAAAAGAAAGAGTTGTAGAATTGTTGAATTTATGCGATAGAAAATCTTGATCAAAGTCGAGAAGTAGCAGCAAAAACTTTACCGATCCCACTAAGTATATGAAGTTATGCGGAGAAAGGGAAGAACAGGGGCAGGGAAATGGGATGAATAATGTCAGAGACAGGACGCAAATATCTCGGCTGTAATGTAATTGTAAGCGCATTTGGCTCCACAGAGGATTACGCGCTCTTTTCTTACTTCATTTTAGTAGAAACTTCAAAAAACATTATCTTTGTCTTGACCAAAAAAAGTTGTAGGAAGCCAAACTTTTCCTTCTTCTTCTTCTTTTTTTTTTTTACAAGATAAAGCGAATACTATAAGCTTTGGTATAAATTAAAATCAATAATTAGTTTTAATCACACATTTTATGTATCTCATAACTCTACAGATTTCATTAACTTCTATCAAAATTTGCTAAAATTTTGATTTTAATGAACATCGAACGTGGGCTAAATCAATACTTTTTGGAGAAAATTGCATTTAGTGTCCCTAAGCTTTTCAAAAAGTGAGAGTGGTTCGTGAAACATTAAGTGTCTGTTTGGTAGCAATTTTGGCCCACTTTTAATTAAAACTGTGACCATTTAATGTTGTCAGTGGTTCCCGCATGTGAGAGGGCCAGTCAAACTTTGTGGCTGACTTTGATGTTAACGGTCAGAAAAATCATTTTTTTTGTTAGAAAAATTGTTACCCAACACAGCCTAATTTTGGCACTACGATTCATGATCTTTGAGCAATTTAGCAACCAGGTGTCGAGCCATGACGGGCAATATTTTAAATTGGGATGAGGTAAAAAAAATTTGCTTGGCCATATATATTTTGTATTTGGACCTAAAAAATTTCTTTTAAAGGGACACGCCATTGACGAGTATTCCTTCAATGGATATTCTTCTGGCATGTTTTATGTTCCATACAATTGATTAATTAGACATTAATAATTATTTTATTTTATCATTCAATATGAGCTAATACTACGGTAGTGCACCTTCCCCGTGGTCGATGGAATAGCGAGATGGTACAAGATATCAAAACTCGCTTCCTCTCGTTGTCAAAAGAGTAATGTTATTCATCATCAGTGGGATTACAAACACAGTTTAGATGACTCTAAAGGATAAGTTAAATGAAAGGTGAAATTAAATAATTTATTTAATTTTATCTATCATTTAAAAACACAATAACACCACCTAAACTGTATTTGTAACTCCAATGAAGATGAATAGCACTACTCTTGTTAAAAATAGACATGCGATTTGTAATGGGGCTTGCAAAAGCCACTTTTGTACTACATCTACTCTAGGTGCTGGATTTTAGATTATTATAAATTGTTGCCCTTAGTTCGTCCAAATGCGTGTGGTTGCTAGACTTGAGATTCGAATTCCAAGTTTGAAGGTGGTGGTCGATGTGGGATTTGGAATGATTTTGTTGAATGGACTACATATAAGGGTTTGTTGAAAATTATAGAGATGGCGGGCGAGCAGCTTAGTGCATTATAACGGCGGGATGGAGGGCTATATGATGGTGGTGGTTTCCGATGGCTAAGGTGGCGATTGAGAGGTGTTTCCGGCGAGTGAAGTGGCGGTGGAAGAGAAAGGGGATGATTTTTGTTTTTTTAATTATTTATTTGCATTTTATTGAAAAATTTGGTAGTATGGTTATGATTTTTTTATTTATTTAAAATATGAGGGTATAATTGTCATTTTATTGAGAAAATGGACGAAAATGACGAATTCCACAATGAAACGTGAAAATAGGAGTGAAAATGCAAAAAAATTGAAACGTAAGAGCGTTTTGCTCACTGAACTCCAAACATAAGAACATTTTGTGCTAATAACCCTTTATTTTTAAGTATCGGCTTTCTAAAATAAAAATATTTTGTATTTAGGGACCTTAAATTAAAGATGCACTATTCAGTGTTTTTTCTTTTTTTTATATGAGATGCACTATTCAGTGTTGATTTACCAGGCTGCTTTATCATTTTAAGTCCAATAGTGAAAAGGCCGGTTCTAATCTAACAGTCTAATGGTCTGTATTGAGTTGCGAAATCCAAAGTAACAACCGTATGGCCTATTTTTTACTTTCCCCTTCTACTCCTAGGGTTAATTTCTGGTCTTCCCTGTAACACGGTCTCCCTCTCTGTGCGCGACAAACCCCATTTCTCTTCATCGATTTTTACCCGCTGAGGAATGCCATTTGGGCGTAAGTTTGCTGCATCTTTAACTCAGTCATTCACTACAATTTTGATTTCTTTCCGTATGCCTGTTTTATTTCCTGTTTTTGTGAAGTTATAAATGTATGACATAGAATTGATTCTTTGTTCTTTATATTTCATTGAATTACGGTACATGAACGCGTAATTGACCGCGTCCAGTTCTGTTGTCCGTGTTAGAGTTTTGGGGTACATTTTAAATCCTATTTGTAGGCTATATGCTATAAAATGTGCTTCGATGTTTAGGGTTTGGTGATGAAATTTTGATCTCTCTAGTTTGCTGAATTGGCTTTAGGTCTCTTACCAGTGTAAAATTCATTCCAACCAATGTCGCTTTAGATGTAAGAAACAATTTATGTGGATTTCCCTGATAAGGGGATAGTTGCATTGTGCATGTACTGGTGCTAAATTCTAAGTGTTCAACATACTGATCACTATTTAGTTATGCATTACTCTGTTGATATTTTGTCGTACTATATGAGTTTGGAAACTCATAATTTGATGGCAATTGACACCCTGATTAGATGGTAATGAGTGCAGATTCTTGCGTGTGTATCAAACGTCTTGAAAATGGGAAGCCATCAGAGGAAGGTGAAACTGAATCAAGTTAAAGCTAATTGGACGCCTGAGCTTCATGAAGTGTTCATTGACTTGTGTCTTGAACAGATATCAATAGGGAATAGGCCCGGGACGAGTTTTAATAAAGATGGTTGGGTGAATATTTTGAATTCATTTCACACAATGACAGGTCTGGGGTATGAAAAGGTTCAACTGAAGAATCATTTAGATGTCACCAAAAAACATTGGACAACCTGGCATCAGTTGGTTTCTACTGACACAATGAAATGGAGTTCGGAGACTCGAAGGTTTGGTGCCAGTGAAGAAGAATGGACCGAGTATTTAGAGGTATGTTACTTTCCTCTATAATGGATACAGTACACAAATATGTAAAATAACATTACCGTAGCTTTTAAAGATTTTGAGAAGGATGAGAGCTTTCTACTCTTGGTACTGGCTTGGTAACAGAATGATGTTTCTTATCACAGGCAAATCCTGATGCTGCTCAATTTCGGTTCAAGGAGCTTCTATTTGCTGACAAATTAGACGTCATTTTTGGAGTAGCTGCAGGGTCTGGAGGAACAGTAAGACCTCTTAGACGTAGGAGGCACAACTATTGTACGACTTTGACACAGCCATCTACTCGGCCAAAAAAGCACCATAATTACTTGACTGAAAGAGAAGCTCCTACTCATTTTGCGAACTACCAAGATGATTCAATGAACACGGGTTTTCATACAGTAGAGCCAGTGAATGCAATACCAGATAGCAACATAGAGCATTGTTATGATACTGTTGAATCAAGGAGCTTTATGACTATTCAATCTCCACTACCCAGGCCCAGTTATAGTATTGAAGATTGCATCAAGTGCCTAGATTCAATTGAAGAACTTGAACAAGGGGGTGAACTCTATTTGTTTGCTCTAGATATATTCCTGAAGCAGGAATACCGGGAGATTTTCCTCAACTTAAAGAAGTCGAGCACCAGGATTGCATGGTTAGAAAGATTGCAAACAGTTGGTCCACAATTGCCTTCGCATTCGGAATCTTAACATGCTGGATTGGATGGTCGTTTTTTGTTGTGTGTACAAAATGGTCTTAGTGTCTCCTTATACTTGTAATATTTATATGAGCTTAAGAACATGAATGTGTATTTAAACAGGAGAGTTTTATCCTGAATGTACTCGAACATGCAAGGCTTAAGTCTTCTGTTTTTTTATATTCAGGAATCAATGCGGAAACCAGGCCTTACTCAATGAGCTTTGTTGAATTTTTTGACATTCACGATTCAACTTTGCATGTTTCCTATGGTAACAAAGTGATCAGAGGAAAAGTGCAAAAAGGATCAAGCACAGAAAGTTCAAAATTCCAACCAGTGGTTAATTCCATCAAGTGAGGATTTTCGTTAATGCATTCAATATGAACAACGAAAACATGATGATAATTATGATTGTCATACAACATATGAAAATATAGGTTATTCGAGTGAAGCATGATAATTAGTTATTGTACATGGTTATTTTTTCCTGGGAAAATATGTTAACCTCTGAGTTAGACAAATCTTGTTGGTAGTGCTCACTTTCACCATTATTAGTAAAAATGTAAAGACACTATTGATGCACTTATTCCAGCTATAGATGCAGACACAATTCAAAGTTGAATTGGTTACAATTTATCTTTGCTGTGGTATTAGTGTCTAACCAAGGCCTGGAAGAAGCTTATGGAGTAATCACAGTCTTTGTTCTCTAGCATTTGTAATTATTCTTCATGAATATTTCTAGTGATTTATCATTTATATTCTTGAGAGAAGTAAATAGTTTTGCATAATCTTGCATTCATTGTTAACTCCAGCCTCCAAGTAGAATGAATGCTTGACCATTCCTTCAAGCTAAAAACTAGTGATTTCATTTAATCAAGTATATCCAAGAAAAATCATCTTTTGAATAAGGTTTTTTCCCAAGGGGGATGATATATTGTTACATAATCACCATAATTGGATTACAATTGCTCCATCTGATGTTCACAAGCAGACATTCTATATATCAGTGTAAACTGCGACTTAAGTATTACTCGTCAAAGTATATATTGATCCCATCTTGATATAGCAGTTACCTGAGTAGTTCATCCTTGGAGTTGTCTCCTCGTAAACTCAGACTCCTTATCTTTTTATGAAGTAATCCAGACTGACCATTGTTTCTTAGAATATTTTTGACAAGAAAATATGGCTGCATTAGCAACAGAATACAATATAGGCCACGTTTTATTAGTAACATAGTATTTACATAGAATTATGTTTTCCGAATTTCAGTTGTCATTCCTAAAGCCAATATACTGTAAGCGAGAGACATCAGCTGATTGCCGTTTTGAAAATAAAGGATGGGAAACAAGAAAGAAACGAAAACGTTACCAATTACTTCACTTCGGAATCATTTTATCATGTTATTTTTACAATAATTCATGCATATAATTTTCAGTATGACCTGGTAGTTTTAATATTGTACTAACATAGCATTGCCTCCTGTCAGATAAGCATTACCTTAGTGCCTCATATCTGATTAGCACCAACCGATTGATATTGCTCTGCTTGATATTAGCTTGATGAAATGATATTTATATTTTGGTTTCTCTATTAGCAGATAAATCTTATGTTTTTCTGGTGCAGATAAATTATGTGGGGAACAGCACGACGAGATGGCAAGGATCAATGGGAGGCATTGTCGATGCAACCATAGCCCAAGTCTGAATCATGGTGTCTCAAAGTAGTGTTGGAATTAATTGATGTATTTGGATCATTAAATATGTTATTTAATGATGTGGACCGTTGTAATTAATTTGGGTGAATTGGAAAAGTCTCCAATATAGGCCCATATGTTATAAGCCCATTTAAGTGTCTTATATATGGTAAGGAATCCCACATCGAAAG